GACTTTGTGTAGATAAAGAAAATCTGATTCTAAAATTTATATAAAAATGCAAAGGAAATACAAAGTAATATAGAAAAAAAAAAAAACGAAGTTGTGCCTGACTTCAAGACTTAATATAGAGCTACAAGAATCAAGTCTACATGATACAAGCAATTATATACATATGTATATATATTTGTATGTACACACCTATATATGTATACATATTATTTTTCTCTGGTGTACGAGGAATTGAATTCAGGGGCACGAGCCACATCCCCAGCCCTATTTTGCATTTATTTAGACACAGGATCTCACTGAGTTGTTTAGTGTCCTGCTTTTGCGGAGGCTGGTTTTGAACTCACAATCTTCCTGGCCTCAGACTTCTGAACCACTGGGATTACAGGCATCTACCACTGCAGCCAGCCAAAATATGTATATTTGTATATATATTTGTACATGTATATGCAAACTCATACATACAAGCAGATTAAAAGAATGAAATAGATAAACAGACTCAGATTTAAATTGTCATTTGATTTTTTTGATAATAGCACCATAGCTATTCAATGGAATAAAATTCTCTTCAACAAATGTTTCGGAGACGCTTGAATATCCATATAGAAAAAAAAAGAACTTTAATTTCTAACCCAAACCCCCAAAAATTAATTGACTGTGGATGATAGATCTAAACAAAGTCTAAAACTATAAAGCTTTCAAAATAAAGCATAAAAAAATCTTTGAAATGAGGATGTATGTAGAATTTTCTTAGGATGTGAAAAGTAATGACCAAAAAATAAGACAATTGATAGAGTTGGTCAAAATCTAAAACATCTAAAGCAGAAGACATGATTAGTAAAATGAATACGCAAACCATGAACAGGAAAAATATTTATAATACACGTGTCTGACAAAGGTCTTGAATGAAAAATACATAAGGAACTCCTACAACACAATATTTTAAGAACCAATAACAAAATAATAATAAATAAAACATTTGAGTAGCTGATTTGCAAAGATAGATATATAAAGGGCCAATAGAGACATGGAAAAGTGCTTTATATTATTAGTTGTCAAGAAATGCAAATTAAGCACAATGAGCTACCACTACATATCAACCAAAGTGGCTAAAATGTAAAAGACAGAAAATACCAGATGTTGGCAAGTATATGATACAACCAGAACTCTCATACATCAATGGTAGTAGTGTACACTACTATAGCACGTTGGCAAAATATCTGTTTGTTTCTTTTAAAACAGAGAATATATCTGTGGCAGGACCCACCAATTCCATTCTCATGTATTTAGCCAAGAGAAATTGAAATATATGTCCACAAAAATACAAATATGAGAATGTTTGTAATAGCTTTACTCATTCTAGTCAAAACTGGAAATGTTGAGATGTCCATCATCAAAGAGCGTGGACAAACTGCTGTGTTCATACAAGGGAACACTGGTCAGTAATGAAAAGGGATTCTAGCCAGGTATGGTGGCACACATCTGTAAACCTAATGACTTAGGAGGTTGAGGCAGGAGGGTCACAAGTTTGATGCCAGCCTAGGCAAGTAGTGGGACCCTGTCTCAAAATAATGAAATTAAAAGGTGGGGTGGATATGTTCTGTTTTGTAGCCTTAAGAAGTGTTTCAAACATATCTGAATGTACAAAATAAGAGTAAATGCCCTACATAGTGTTATGCTGCATTATATATAAAACTGTGTGCATATATTAAAAAAATAATAAAAAATAAAAGGTGGAGTGGAGGGTGCTGGGGATATAGCTCAGTGGTAAAGAACTCCTAGGTTTTATCTCCAGTACAGAAGAGAATATTCTAGCAAATCTTTATGCTTTCATGCTTTCTTGGCATGCATTTTGAATATAGATTTGATTTTCTTATACCAGAATCAGGGCTTAGTCCCTCTTGACAAAGTCCAGTTCTCTGCCTCCTTCCAATTCCTTAATAGGATCAATCCAGATATCTGCCCTATACAACGGCCTTCTCATGATGGCCTCTCTGTAGGACATACACAGACAAACTATGGACTCATGCCACTGATTCCCACACCCTGCAGGCTCTGTGCAGATATGCCCTAGTGATCACTTCTCAGTCACAGCTTGACTCCACAGAACTTGTGTCTGTTTGCTCTATACCTCCAATTGGAACTTCCTATAGGAAGCACCTTGGGAATGTTCTGGACCCCAGTAAAGGCTTTGGCTCACAGGTCCCTCCCTCTTTCTCTTGCTGCCGACCCATTGTTGAACATGCGTGTCTGGGAGGCTGTTCTTTTCCTGTTGACTCTGTGAGACTTGCTGCCTTCTTCCCTCTGGAATCTATAAGTAAAGACTTGATTGGGACCCGTGTGGGGAAGGAGTGGGTAACCACTGGAAGTGTGGGCTGGCTGCAAAATAAAAGCTATGAAAGTAATATTAAGAAATAAACACAGAAGACCAGGAACATGTTAATAGTGAGGGCCTGATGGGTGGAACAGACCTGCTGGGTCTAACCTAACAAAGAGAAAAACCAGCCCTTGCTTTATTTATACTGGTACAGACCAAAGGGGATCTGCAGGGAGCTTCTTCAGGAAAACCAGAATGAGAGTGGCGAAAAACAGGATGTTTGGTGCTTGGCAGGATACACCCATCTCCAGATGTCTGTGTTTGAACCTGGGGCTGTGAGCTAAGGCAGAGTGCCTCCATGATCTGAGCTTTCTTGAACTGGGGAATTTCATGCACAAATTCCCAGAAAAGCAGCTTCCTTGCCTTGATGGCTCAAACAAACATGGTTCATGCGTGTCTCCCAACAGTAACACACTGCTGCTGTGATTTCATGTGTTTTGTTGTGCTGCCTCCTCTGTGTGACACCTGACTGACACACCCAAATCTAACTTCTTTCCAGGTGGGGTGTCTGCTACAAAGTAGCTTCCCACCAATACCCAGGTTGCCCTTTAGGATACTCTGATCTCTACTGAAATTTGCAGTCATTCAAGCAAGACATGGAAATGCTTTCCCTGATGTCCTTCAGTGGCCTAAGTAAGTTCCAACAGAAAGAAAGGACGAAGAAAAATAAGTCTTCCTGGAGTGCTTCAGCATAATTGGATCTTGGGGACACTGTCCCAGAAGAACGAAAAGTTTCCTGACTGTATGATTCTGTTTCCAAACTTTTAATCACTTCAGGGAGCTCAATGGTCCCAGTCGTAACACTGATTCCAAATTACCTTGTACACGTGCTGGTTGTTTGTTTGGAGATTTTGCCTAAAACATAGAACCAAGATCAAGAGGGGAGATCTAACTTTCACTCTTTCCTTCAAATCAGCGGTATCATCTCAGCCTTTCAAGTTAGTATTGTTATTTCTTGCCCAGGTACTCTTCCCAAGCTACAGGGACCCTTTCTCAGCAGGTTCCTGATGAAGGTAAGTAAGGGTTCTTATCAAAGTAATGTTCAACCTTTTATTGACTTCTGATTTGATTTTCCAAAGGGATTAGGGCTTGAGAAAGGAAGAAATGAAGCAATTTCAATAGTACAACAAAAAGTGAGAGCCATGCAGAACCCATCTTGGGCCAGAAAAATCTAGATGGCAAGAAGCCTATGAACCTTTGCTGTCAGAGTTCATGAACTCAGTTGACTTCAGAGGCTCCCCTAGAAGGAACTCCCCCATGGTTTCAGAGCCTCTCCTGATGGCGTTCCACAAACTCAGGCAATTCCAGAAAGAGGCTGAACTACCATGGTAATTATGAGAAAAAACTCAGAAAGTTGTTGGTTAACTTCAGTATGAAGATTTTTCTGAAATTCCAGAGCTCTGCAAATCTGGGGCAGGCTGTTTGGAGATGTAGTAAACTCTTCAACACCAGAAGAGATTAAACTGAAACTGAAAAGCCATACACCCGTGTTGGCAGAAAAGAATCTAGAGAGGGAGAGAGGATTGGACAAGATCTTGCCTTGGCCATTTGCAAGGAGTATAGTTAGCATCAGAGTCTCAGTCTGGGTGATATACTTAGCTGCTGAACCAAAAGACAACAAAAACTATATGTCCATCGATTCCTGTGTGGATACTCACCCAAAGAAAATGAAACTTAACAGAACAAACAAACAAAACAATGTTTTAAGTACTGCTTCATTTGCCTAAGAGAACTAGATTTCTGCGACTATGAACCAGTGTGGGTTTCTGGGGTCATCTTTCTATATCTCCACGAAATGCCAGATTTAAACTATAACGATATAACAGAATTTTCAGAACCACAAGTCACTTTGCAAACCTCTCCACTTTCCTTAGTTCTATGTCTAATCTTCTCTTTCCTTTAAGACCTATTTGGATTCTACATCACCAAGAAAGCCTTCTATGACTCCTGTTCCTACCAATACCCAGGTTGCCCTTTAGGATACTCTGATCTCTACTGAATCCTTATGATTTTCTTCCCTTTCAGGTTCTGAGCCCATTTAACCCCGGGCCATGACTTACCTCTGATCCTCATAAAAATTGCCGTATCCACATACTGGCTGATCAAGAAGTATTTTGGTGTATAGATGTTCAGAAACGATGAATAAAGTAATGGGTGGATGGATGGATAGATAGATCGAAAGTACTGTGGTTGGTGTTTGTCCATGAGAAGGAAGATCTTGGGAAAAACAGGAGCATTTTCTATAATAATAATAATAATATGGAAAGAAGACATAAACATAAAGTGAGGATTTACAACTAATGTCATTAATATCTGGAACAAAGTGGGAGAGAATGAAGTAAATTTAAAGTCATTTGATTAAAGAGATAAAGTACCATACAGAACACTGAATCTGCTGTGAGGAACCTGGTGGTGTTTCAGAACCACGTTACCCAGCGATGTTTGGAGGACAGATCTTCCCACAGTTCTGTGCCTCTTGGCTGCTTTTATCTGTCTTTGTCAATAATCAAATGCATTAAATTATCAGAATCATCATTTTAAACTTTGTAAATTTGGTGTCTTATGGCCCCAAAACTATATCTGATTTTGTTGCTTCTCAGTCTTGGAAGGTGTAAATACTGTGGGTTTTCAGATGATTTTTTTGTCACTTAGCCAGACTGGAATTCCAGAACAGGTGCCTTGGCCATTTGCAAGGTGAAGAATATGAGTTTGGACCTCTAGGTATATTCTTCAGTTGATAGAGAAGACACACCATGGAAACCACCAACCAGACAGGGTCTGTGTCAGAGTTTGTTCTCCTGGGACTATCAGCCCACCCAAAGCTGGAGAAAACATTCTTTGTGCTCATCCTGCTGATGTACCTGGTGATTCTGTTGGGCAATGGTGTCCTCATCTTGGTGACCATCCTTGATTCTCACCTGCACACACCCATGTACTTCTTCCTAGGGAACCTCTCCTTCCTGGACATCTGCTACACGACCTCCTCCGTCCCCCTCATTCTTGACAGCTTCCTCACTCCCAGGAAGACCATCTCCTTCTCAGCGTGTGCTGTGCAGATGTTTCTCTCCTTTGCCATGGGGGCCACAGAGTGTGTACTCCTGAGCATGATGGCCTTTGATCGCTATGTGGCCATCTGCAACCCCCTTAGGTACCCTGTGGTCATGAGCAAGGCTGCCTACATGCCCATGGCTGTCATCTCCTGGGCAGCAGGGAGTGCTGCCTCCATGGTTCAAACATCCCTTGCAATGAGATTGACTTTCTGTGGGGACAATGTCATCAACCACTTCACCTGTGAGATCCTGGCTGTCCTGAAGTTGGCCTGTGCTGACATCTCCATCAATGTGATCAGCATGGGGGTGACTAATGTGATCTTTCTGGGGATCCCAGTCCTGTTCATCTCTTTCTCCTATGTCTTCATCCTTGCCACCATCCTGAGGATTCCCTCTGCAGAGGGGAGGAAAAAGTCCTTCTCCACCTGCTCTGCCCACCTCACTGTGGTGATTGTCTTCTATGGGACCATTCTCTTCATGTATGGGAAGCCCAAGTCTAAGGATCCTCTGGGGGCCGACAAGCAGGACCTGGCAGACAAGCTCATCTCATTGTTTTATGGGGTGGTGACCCCCATGCTGAACCCCATCATCTACAGCCTGAGGAACAAGGATGTGAAGGCTGCTGTGAGGAACCTGGTGGTGTTTCAGAAGCACGTTAATCAGTGATGGTTGGAGGACAGATCTTCCCACATTTCTGTGCCTCTTGGCTGCTTTCATCAGTGAATCTCAGAAGAATATGTTCCCCAGAAAAGACACATGTGAAGAGCAATGACCAGAAAGTCGAACTGCATGTGTAGTGCAGAGCTTTTGCTCCTACTGGACATGAATGACATGATGAAGCCTAAAAGCTGATGGGAGTATGCCTTGGAGGATGAGTGCTTCTCAGATGGGTTCTGATTTCTCTATTGTGCAAGTCTGAATTCTCTTTTGGGAGTAGATTGCTCCTTTTTCTAAGCTGGGAGTCCTAAAATTGGCCTGTGCTGACATCTCCATCAATGTGATCAGCCTGGGGGTGACAAACTTTGTGCTTCAGAAAGTAAAGCCAAAAATCCAGCTCTTGAAAGGAGGCCCTGAAGACAGCCTGAGACAAAGCTTTAGGACATTGTTTTGAGTCATATTCTATACTTACAACGTAGTATAAAGAATTGTTTTCATATTAGATGTGATTACATGTCTGCATATTATATCTTTTCTTGGAGATGGGCCTGAGCTTGGTGATGAAAAAGAAGTTGGTCTTTTTCCTTTTCCTGGGACTCTGAGGAGTTGGGACCAGATAGAATCCATGTAGGGCATTTCCTCTGAGAGCAAGTAGTGCCATCCTATAGTACCCATGTGGAGAAACCCAGCCTGGGAGAGCCACAGCTGGCATTCAGTTCAAGCTTGGTTTCCCGCCCTCAGTAAGTCTCATTTATGTACATAGTCTGGTCCCGTAGTCTGGAGAGTTGAGGGATGGACCCCTGGGGGGAAGACTAGAGCCTGCAACCTGAGGGAAGCTGAAAGGCAGATAGCAAAAGGAGATAAGCAGAGGATGGAACCTTGACCTGGAGCAAGGCAGCTCACTGAGGGCGGTGAGAAACCCGACAGGCTGAACCATGCAGCTGAGAAGAGGTCCAGAGTCCGTCATCTTTGGGAATTAGCTAAAGAGTAGAATTAGTTGAGCTGGCTTGCCCATGGGCATGCTCCCTTCCTTTCCATATGTGTTGACTCCCGGTAGCATGATGTGTCTCAGGTCTGCTTCCTGGGGAATCTGAACTGTGGCACCATGAAAACTTCAACACTCAACCTGCATGTTATGTTCACTTTTCAGAATCTATGGATCCTGGCAAAACTTGACAAAAACTGTGCAGAATAGTTGGATGAGGCAGTATAGTGCTATTAGCCTCAGAATTTTGCAACACACCTTGGTTAGTTTCCAGCTTCCTTATTTACTATGGTTAACATCTTGAAACTTGTATTATATTATAGATAATTTCTCTGAAATCTGCTTTCCATCTGCACCCTGCCCTTCTCCTTAGTTCCATACATTCCAATCTTTTTCTTGCCATGAAACACAGAGAAAATAATGGGATGTGTATGGCTTTCTGAGATACGTGGATGGGTCTACTCTTGACTGAAGGCAATTCTCCTGGGGGTTTAGGTCACTGGCTTGGTCACCCCAGGGAGTCTCTGAGCTTGGCACATTTGCAGCCTGTGTACACCAGCTAGAAAGTTCTTCCTGAGGCAGGATGTGCTCTCCCATAGTACCAGCTGAAAGACAGTCCTGTTCATTCCCCTGACCATAGGTAATTAGAGATTTGACCCATAGCTGGGTGAGGTGGCACATGCCTATAGTTCCAGCCACTCAGGAAAATGGAGGATTGCAAGTTTGAGGCCAGCATGGGCAACTTAGAGAGTCTCTGTCTCAAAAAATAAAAATAGAAAATTTAAAAACTAAATAAGATGAAAGGGCTGGAGATGTAGCTAAGTGGTAGAGAGCCCCTGGTTCAATTCCTAGTAGCAAAATAACAATAGTGATAAGTTGCATTTCTCACAACTAAAACATTCAGGGTCACCCAGGTGAATTGGGCTTGTGAAATAATCTCACAAGAGACAGAGATACCTTTTTCTTTGGGTCCTGTGAGGGCTCCTCTGACCTTAGGGGTCTGCAGAAAGGGAGAGAGAGAGAGAGAGAGAGAGAGAGAGCACACTTTGAACCCTTTTATGGGGGAGAAGCCATTCAAATGAAGCAAGGAATCAAGTTTCAGGGGATTGAATCTAGCTTCCTGAAGTCTGCTGTCAGCCAGTTAACTGACATCTTGGAAGGCCACACCCAAAGGCAGAGCAAGAGAAGGGGACACACAGAGTGAGTTTCCATGGAACATTCTATCCCAAACAGGGCAAAGGGGTGGAATTACAAAAGAATAGGTGAGTGTAGCTCAACCCAGGGGTACGCCTACTGAGAAGACTGGCCTTGCTATGGGGGATGGAGGGGACTCATCAGGACTGGAAGGCGTGGTAACTCAATGTGGCTCCCCACAGTAATAATAATAAGGAAATTTGACCCAAACTGGAATAATCACATTTTCTCTCCAAACAATCTGAAATTTGGAGATGAAGACATCTCTTAGCTCTCATAGGGCCCTTGAACAGAGACACCATGTAAAGGACTAATGTGGCCATGAGCCTAGCAAAGAAAAGAAAGCCGGTCTGATCCTAAAGCAAATGCATGGAAAGATCCACACCCACGTGACAACAGAAATAGAGGCCTCAGTACATGAGCTAAGTTTTGGGGAAATGTTGTTTTCTTTTATTTAATGGTAAGACTTAATCCTATAGAAAAGTAGAAAGAATAATCCTTAAGTATTCATCTCCTGTATCCATACCCCTTTAGTTTGTTTTTCCCTTTCCTGGATTATTGTGAAGCAAATCCCAGGTAATCATACATTTCATATTTAAATATTTCAGAATTTATCTCTAAAATTAACTGGTATTATTATAAAAATATAAATAATTTACCATCATCTCATCTAAACCCTCACAATGACTCCTTGAGCTCATTAATCATCCAGCATTTGTATGTCCAAAAATGTCTTATATCAATTTATTCAATTGAATCAGTTTCCAAATAAAACCACACATTATGATTAGTCTCTTTTAGTCTCTTTCTCTCTTCTTTTTTTCTTTTCATTTATGTTTTTTCCACCACTAACATATCTTTTAAGTTAGATTTTTTGGGGAAGAATTCATTTCCCACTATAGGATACTAGTAATTTCCCATGGCTGCATTTTGCTGACTGCAGTCCTGTGGTGTCCGTGTCGGTGTTTTCCATAAGTCGGTGATTAGATCTGGAGACCTGGGAGTAGTCAATGCAAGTTCAAGCGTGAGCTCATGGCTCCTGAAACCTGTGCATGGCTGTGATATCTTTGATGACTTCCCTGACCTCAGGTATGTCAAGATGTTCCATGCTCAACATCACATTTCCTCTGCAGACCTGGAAATAGCCATTTTCTCTAGGAATTCTTGCTTCCTTTAGTGGGGAATGTTATTTAGAAGCCATAATCTGGGTGCTACAGGTGCTACTGAGTTTGGCATGGTTTCTAGGACTTCTCAGTGAAATGAGCTGAGAAGGGGGAAAAAGAAATATATATATGCATATGTATATTTATATAAACATATGTGTCACATAATGTTTCATTTAACATTGTATCACATCTGACGTTAGTCTCATAAGATTATAATGGAGCTGAAAGATTCTTATTGCCTAGTGACATCATGGCAGTTGTAACATAATAGTATAATGCACTACTCACATGTCTGTGGTGATGCTGGTATAACAAACTATAGCACTGCCAATCATATAAAGTATAGCACATACAACTATGTATGTATATATTTCTTGAAAATAATAATAAATGCAATGACCATGTTACTAACTTAAGTACTTACTAAACTATACTTTCTATTGTTATTTTAGAGCATTCTCTGCTTAACAAAGAAGTTTACTATAAAATAGTATACCATGTTACAATGGCAGCAGGTCATACATTTTATGTTTCCAGTGTCTCTGTAGTGCATCATTTTGTCTTGTGTTTGATTTTATCTCATGTTGTTTTTCTCATCATGGCCCCAAGCTTACAAAAACCGTGGCCAATATTCCCAGTTGGAGGCCTTGTCAAATAAATAACCTGTAAATAAAGTGAAAAACGATTAAGGACTATGAGGGTGAAAAATCAGTGATGGTTACCTTGTGGGCTGATTGCTCAGAAAACACTGTCAGTACGAACTTTGCCCAAATTAGAGAGTTGTTTTTTTTTGTTTGTTTTGTTTTAATTTAGCCAGCTGGCAACTGCTCCCCTGCAGGACCTGAATTGTCTGTGCCAGGAACAGTGCTGGGTTAGAGTTCTATGGGGGGCATAAGGGGAAAAAACCACATCCTCGAAAACGTAGGTACAGGCAAGCAAGCAGGATACAAGGGCTGAGAAAGCCGTTACAGAGCAAAAACAGATAACCACATCCTGGGTCTGAGCACATTTGTGGGCATTTGAAATACAGAAGAACAATTTTTAACATCTTAGAAACAACTTAATATTGTTTTTTCTATAACACATAATCCTATTGCCCTACTATTAATATTTAATAGCCTATAATCTATATTGATTAAGCTCAGATCATAACAGTTATTGCTCAGCAGTTAGGCACATCTCATTCCACCAAAGCTATGATCTTGAAGAATAAGAATGAAGTGACAGAGGCTATTAAAGGATCTGTCTCATGGAAGGCAATGAGATTAACAAAAAGGTGTGAAGGGTCTTGATCACAAATGGAGAAGTTTCTAATGACCTGAATTGAAGACCGGACACAGAGTGTATTCCTCTCAGCACCATGACGATAATGGCCAAAGCAAACAAACAAACAAAATGTGATGTTGAAAGAAAAGACTGGACCCAGATATGACTGAATTTACTGCTAACTCTGGGTGGTCTAAACAATTCAAGAATCATTATTCATTACGTACTGTGAGAGCACCCAGTGAGTAGGTGAGTGCTGATGTGAAGGCAGCTGAAGAATTTTTGGAAATTCTACAAAAGTTACTTGTGGAGGAAAATTACTTGCCAGAGTAATTCTGGCAGAGCAATAGGTTACGTATGTAGTGGGCTATGCCATCTGTTTGTGAAAATACACTCCG